TCCTTCCTTCCTTCTCCCTCTGCGATCTCTCCTCCCTTCTCTACTTCACCTTCCTCTCTCCTCCGTGTCCCGAGCTCGGCGGCTATGGCCGCTACTTCGTCTTGGACCGCACAACCAATCTTACGTGACTCCTCCCTCTCTCTCTCTTCGGGACAATATCTTCGACGCAGGTACGTGGTAAATTAATCTTGTATCGCTGAACTCTCTCTCTCTCTCTCTCTCTCTCTCTCTCTCTCTCTCTCTCTCTCTCTGCCTTGTTCGTCGTTGTCCTCTATGCAGGTATGCGTCACCTTCCTCCGCAGCGCAGCTGTGGCAGACTTCTTCACGGTGGCACGCTTTAGCTATAGCGCCCTATGGTCTCCCCTGCTGCAACGGCGATGGCGCATGGGATAACGGGTACCATCTTCGATACCAGTGCAATCAGACTCGCTTTCATTCACACTTCACATGCATGCAAACAGGTTGCACAGCAAACTGGCGACAAACGCCCACTCAAAACTCAGAGATATGGTAACCAAGAACACAGTTTAGATACAATCTCACTTCAGATGGCTATGGCGCATCAACGCCTATACAAATCTGTTATGAACTTGGTTGTCTGACGATTTTCTCGCCACTCACACACAGAGTGCCTGACACACGCCCATACACATACCAGACAAAGGGGAGAGGAGACAAAGTCCAAACTGCACACAGATCGAGATAAGCAGCGGAATGCAATCATGCACAGATGGGGAGAAAACACACAGTGGTTCTTGCTCTCTGATAGACTCCCAACAACCAATCACAAGAAGAGACCTGCGAGGCTAACAATTAGAATCACACTGATGATGAGCCAACTCAAACCAATTGTCCCGATTATCGTTACTGAGTTTATCTCAGTATCTCGCCACTCTGAGAACACCACACACCACTCCCTATCCTGCACCCAGTTAGTAGCCCAGCACTGAATCCGCCTCCCAGAGGCCAGTGCCAACCATCCAGATGGACAACATGAATCGCGATGAAGTCTTCAATGTCGATGAGTAACTCTGACGAAGAAGATGGCAGCTATGGCTGCCACACCACTGACAAGCCCCGATAATCCACCTCAGGCGACGGGTGACAGTGGTCCACCCATGTAGACTCAGTGAAGAGCCTCTAAACAGCCCAGCCAATCGCAGATACCCTCAGGGGTAGATGGGTGCCCCAGCTATGGCAAACACCGGCAGGCTGGCTATGGCTGCCGTCCACGATGAGGGTCTCAGGATGCCGCCTGTAGACAATCACCTCCACCCGACTTGCTTGGCTCCAGAACACTGTATCGCCGAAATGAAATGCCAAAAGTCCATAACGTACAAGCTCAGTCCTATTAATAGACAGCCTACTCTAGACCTAGACCTACTAGACCGGTACCGCATCAATTTGGCTTGTTCAGCCTGGACCGTACCCGACTATACGGCGTATAACCCGTCTCTACAGCCCAAGGCACAGATGGGCCTGCTGTCCTAGTGATAGCCCGGGTCTACTAAGAGCCGTAACGACTAAGGGGAACTTGGGCCTGCAATTTTTGTGTAAATTGCAGATATATCCCTCACGAATTTCCCTCAAGACTAGACCGGCGGTTAGTCCCTGACACAAACAAAATTACGAATCTGACCCTAAGACGCGACTGTACAACCTCGCAGTCAGATCTCGACAGTAGAAATCAGCAAGCCATTGCAGACTTACCCCCCCGGGGAGTGAGGACCTTCGAGCTAAGGGTGTAAACGATGAGATCGCCTAGAAAGGTTTCTCTTTTGGGCCGCCTCGTAAAGCAAAACCACAAATTTTGCTGTCTTGAGAAGTTCCCTCCGGGTAAACCATCTGTCCTCAGTATGAGGCTGGAAGCAGAACCTCACAAGACTTTGTCGGTCGGGGCCAGTGCCCCACTCGTCCTCAATGGATTCCACGTCATATCCCTTGCCAGGGATCGGTGGACCAAACTGAGGAGGCCGGTCTGGGAATGCATCAGTTGCGGTGAAGGGGAGCAGCTTGGATGCATGAAAGACCGGATAGGTCTGCAGATGCAGTGGAACGTCGATGATGTATGACGGGCCAAATGGATCAGATCCCACTGTATCTAAGATCTGCCATGGACCCAAATAACGAGGCAACAACTCGGGGGAGATATCCTCCTCCCTCGACATGAATTTGGCGCACCAGTGCTCTTCGTCCCGAAAGGGAATGGAGAATTCAGAATGTGCATCGACTACATGGGCCTCAATAAGATCACTAGGAAAAGTATAGAGCCTATTCCTAGGATCGATGACCTCCTGGATATGGTGCAGGGTTGTACAATATTCAGCAAAGTCGACGTCAAATTTGGATATCATCAGATTGAGATGGCAGGGGAGGATGTCCACAAGACACCCTTCAAAACCAGATATGGTACTTACGAGTATCTGGTTATGCGATTTGGACTTTGCAATGCCCAGGTACCTTCCAGACTGAGATGCACCGCATTTTCAGGCCTTACCTGGACAAGTTCATGGTTGTCTATCGAGATGACATTTTGATATTCAGCCGAACTGCCAGGGAACATGCGGAGCAGTTGGCTTTGGTCCTTCAGTCGTTACTTGACAACCAGTACAAGATTAACAGGGAGAAGTTCTCCTTTGGAGTTCCCTCTGGTAGAAACAGGAGTTAGAGTGGAATGGAAACGAGTGCTAACAGCAATAGACAGACAAGGCTTAATCCCTGAGGAGGATAAGGAGTTTACAAAGTTATTGCGAAGAACAACCCTGTGGGTAATATAGAGAGCCAAATGTGGAAACACAATAGGAAAAAAGAAGATAACGGCAATTGAATCATGGGAAGAGGCAAAGGAAATGGTAGAAACAGGAATTAGAGTGGAATGGAAACGAGTGCTTGGGAAAATGGACAAGCAAAGAGAGGATCAGAAGAGGACCAAAATACAGAAAGAATTTGAAAAGTGGCTGAAGGAGGGACTAATGGCAAGGATAAACGGAAAAGCCCTTCAATTCACGAACTGGTGGGATCCGGACAGCCCAAGAACAAGTCAGAATAACACAAGCTCAATGGACTTAGACTGATAAGAAAGGAAAACTCAGAGGAGGAACAAGCACAACCATAGAATAGAGGAGGGTAAGAGGAAGTAAAGATTAGTGCCTATGAAGAAACAAAAATGGCAAGGACAACACTTCAAAACAGAGGTTCGGGACAAATGGAAAGCCAAGGCAAAAATAGAAAGGGATAGTCCAAAAGGAAACAGCAGCAACACCAACCTGCCATGAAAGGGGGAGGACACATAGTGTAAAGGGAGAGAAGGGGAGGCTCTAAGGTTTAAGGCTCAAGCACGTCATAAGACAAGATACAAGCCCTAGATAAGGGTAACCTAGAACAAATACGAGTTAATGTTCAGCAATCTGTTTGCTATTAAAATACAAAGGTCAAAATGGAGAGAGAGGGAAGGACTAGGGTTAGAGGGGAATAGAGAAAGTGTAGATTTCAAGGGAGATGGACAAATAAGAGAGAATGAAAATGAGAAAGGCCGAAGGAGGGGGTAGGGTTAAGAGTTGGAAAAAGGGTTTAGGGTTAAAGTGGCATAGCTAGAGGTGTAATCAGACTCGTTCTCATTCACACTTTTCATGCATGTAAACAGCAACGCAGCAAACTGGCGACATGCGGCCACTCAAAACTCAGAGATATGGTATCCAGATTTGACTTCACTTCCAATTGGCTATGGCGACTCGGCACCCAAACAACTCACTGTTCACATACACTTGATCGCCCTGGATATCCCACACGCGTAACTCTGAACACTCGCACATACACACACACACTTCACACTAACTACAGCTATGGCAGCTATGGCTGCCTCTACCCTATCGCTATGCTAAACTCCTCTCTCACCCACTGCGTCCTCCGCGCTCACTGCAGACCTCCTTGCACAAGTCGTTGTGACAGCGCTTCCGCACTCACGCAGGAATGAATGAAAGGCTGGGCGCTGCCTCTTGATTTATACTTCGGAAACTCGTTGGTCTGCCCTTTGCCATTGGCCCATGGTGTGCACAGTCCCCCATGGTACTTGCTGGACCGGACTGGGACTGACTGGACCTTACCGCTGACTGACTGTGGACTTACTGCTATCCTACCGTCGTCGTACTGCAATTGCACTGCAGTTTAGTCCACCACTTGCCTCGCCACTTGCCCACTTGCCGACCTTCTAGAAGGACTACAGCTAGACTTCTGGAACTTGCTAAGACTTCTACTCTATAGACCTACAGATCGAACCCCTGCTGCGTATGGACCTACGACAGACCTACCAGCTGTCTACGAATACACAGGTCACAGGTTCAACTCTCGGGGCATACACAGATACTGTACATGGGTAGAGTGAGGTCTAGGGATCGAACCCTGAGATCTGCATCTGCTACTGCAAAAGGTGAAAACCGTTTCACTCCCGCCGTCCTAAATTCGAGGTCCTCCGAGAATATTTCAGTCCAAGGCAGGACCTTTGCCCTTCTTATCACGCTCATAGGCTTTGACTATGTTGGGAGCTATTTCTAGAAGTTCTGTTTGTAAACCAGCGGTCGTCTTCCGGTTCCTGATAGGCAAACCGGACCTTATACTGCTTCTGGGGACGACCTCTACCTCCTGTTCTAAAGACATCCTCGTCTACAATACCTTCAATGTCATAACTTTCGTCCATATCTGGAGGAATCATAGCTCGTCTTGAAGGGAACTGTTGGCTTGTAACACACGGCAACAACTTTGAAGCGTGGAACACAGGATTTGTGTGGAGGTGTACTGGGATCTCTATAGTGTATGACGGTCCATCCTCTCCGCCCTTGACTTCTAGAACCGGCCACGGTCCTCTATATGCAGGCAGTAACTTCTGCGAGATGTTTTCTTCAGGTGCAAACTCTCTTGCCTTGACCCAGACTAAGTCGCCTACTTGAAACTGGGATGGGCGACGGTGCTTATTAGCCTATTCTATCATCCTATGTTGGGCCTTCCGTAGGTTCTGAACAACAGTTGCTAATTCCTTTTCGTGCTGTATCGCAAACTCCCTGGTACCGGGCGGTAGTCTGTGGATTTGATCCCGGTTCAGTCCTTCGAACGGTCTGCATGGTCTAAAGGACTTGTGCAGCTCATTGGGAGTGCGGCAGGTGGATAGATGCACGCTGTTGTTGTATGCACTAGCTGCCTTAGGCAACATCTCATCCCAGTTGATCTGGTCTGGTCTAATGTACATGCGCAAAACTTGCTGTAGAATCCTGTTTATTCTACTTGTAGCCAATTAGGTTATATGGTATTCGCTTGTGGTATCTCCAATTATTCTGTGAGTGTATTTCTCTCTGTTTTATAGAGTTTTTTTTCTTTAGTCTGTTAAGGATTTCTCGAGAAGTGCCAATATGACTCATACGAAAAAAACAAAAAAAATGAATTAGTAAAATAATTCTTAAATTTAGAAGCCGTGTGAATTTAAAATTTCACTTTGTCTGACCGTTGGTCTCTGGATGGCGGCCAGACGACATCAATAATTTAGATCCGTAGACCCTCATGAGTTCTTGCCAGTTCTGGCTGGTAAAACGACTATCCCTATCGCTAACTATTGACAATGGGATTCCATTCTCACTAACCCAAAAGTCAAAAAACTTTTGTATCACTAGATCTGTACGTGCCTTTGCAGGCAAAGGAACAAAAACTGCATACTTACTAAAACGGTCAACTATGACCATGACTTGGCTCTTACTACGTCTGCTCTTGACTTGGGTGTCCATGAAGTCTATGGACACTGAGTCTCCCGGCTGATCCGGAATAGGCAAGGGTTTGAGAAGACCTAGGAGAGCGCGTGTAGTAGTCTTATTCCTCTGACAAACTTTACAATTGCGGACATATTCTACGCAGTCATTCTTCATCCCTGGCCAGGTGTACGCACGCATAAGGTTGGCTAAAGTCTTTTGCCAACCGAAATGTCCCTCGGTGTCGTGGCATTCCCCTAGGATCAGACTACGAATTTCTTCGTTGTTGGGAACGCACAGGCGGTCAAATACGTTAGTCTTCTCAAACAGCAACCCGTTTGTAGTGCGGTAATCTGGTTCAGTCCCTGGGGCCTCTCTAACTCTCTTTAGGAGGTCGCTATAGATAGGGTCCTGCGCATACGGTTGCTTCACTTTCTCTTGCAGGTCTCTCCCTATATCTTGATAGTGTACTATGGCGCCAAAGTAGGTTGATCTCCTACTCAGAGCGTCCGCAACTACGTTGTACTTGCCCTTCACCGGCTTAAGCTCGAAGTCATATTGGTTTATTTCTGCGGCCCACCTAGTTAGCTTAGGTGTCATCTTGGCCTGGGTCTTCAACCATCTAAGTGTTTCATGGTCAGAATACACTTTGAAGTGCCTCCCTAGCAGGTAATGCTTTTAGTGCTCTAAAGCCTGCCTGAGAGCGTAGAGTTCTCTCTCATACGTCGAGGTGGCTACCTTCTATGAGGGCATCCTCGCTGACATGAACTCTACGGGTCTATAACCATTGCCGTCATCTTGCTGCAACACGGCGCCTATCCCATACTGACTTGCGTCCGTGGTGACGACAAAAGGCAAAGACGGATCAACTACTTTGAGGACAGGGTACTCTATCAATGCGCGCTTCAGTCTCTTTAACGCAGATGTACAATCTTTGTCCCATTGTCAGATTGCCTCTTTCTTAAGCAACCTGCGCAGGGGAGCGACGATAGTAGAAAAGTTCCTCACGAACTTTCTATAATAGTTAGCTAGGCCTAGGAACGACCGTAACTCTGTCAATGTGCGGGGCGTCGGCCAATCTCTAATCGTCGCTATCTTACTGTCCTCTGGCTTAATGCCATCTCCGTCCAATACGTGGACCAAGTACAAGACTTGTGTCTTGGCCCACTCGTTCGGGTTGATCTTGAAGTTAGCCTTTCTAAGCTTCTCCAAGACCTGTCGGAGATGACCCTGATGCTCTTGGAGGGTCTTACTAAAAACTAGGATATCATTTAAATAAACTACTACAAACTTGTCTAGCCATGGTCTAAACAGGTCATTCATACAACACTGAAAGGTGGCTGGCGCGTTTGTTTGTCCAAAGGGCATCACTATAAACTCATAGTGCCCATATCTAGTCCGGAATGCAGTCTTGTACTGATCATCAGGATGGACTTCTATCTGATGGTATCTGGACTTTAAGTCTATCTTGGAGAAATACTTACAACCCTGCACCCGATGTAGGAGATCGTCTATTCTGGGCAGCGGCTCAACATTCTTCACGGTAATCGCATTCAAACCCCTATAGTCTATACACATTCTCAACTCTCCTTCCTTCTTGGGGACGAACAAGACTGGTGCTCCAGAAGGAGACGAACTGGGCCTGATCCAACCTTTCTCGAGGAGCTCGTCTAACTGCTTGCGCAACTCCTCTAACTCTCTAGGGGACATCCTGTAAATTGCTCCCTTAGGAGTTCTACTACCAGGCTCTATCTCTATCCTGTGCTGGATGGGTCACGACACTACTCCTGCCGGCGACTCAGTTAAGTCTTTGAACTCTTTCAGCAACCTGGCTGTGGTTGGATCTGTGGAACTCACTTCTTCCTTGGCCTCAGTGGCAGGTCTAACGTAGACTACAAAGACCTGGTCTTCTAACTGCTCCTTCTTGACTAACCGCGCGAACGCGGGAGCACTGAGACAGCAATGTGCCAAGGTGTTGTCTACACCTGACACATGAAACATGCGGGCAATCTTAACATCGCCTGATGGACTAGGGAGCCTACACTCATGCTCTCTCAAGTGGAGTGTGGCTCCTGCTGCCTCTCCCCAATCCATTCCCAACACTACGTCGAAAGGAAGGTCATCCTGCACGAGGAGAGTCAGGGAATGGATAACTTTCTCCACCTTCCCATCCTTCTCTAGGCGAAAGTACGCGTGGACTCCCTCTACATAGCCCTCAACACGCATTGTGCGGTTGTCTGCGAGGACACTGACTATGGGGTCTGCTAACTTCTGGACTTTCAATTCTAGCCTTAACTTTTTCAGCGCTCTGCGGCTAATATAACTGCGGGTGGCCCCTGAGTCTCTAAGGGCCCCTACTCTACTCCTAAAAACCTCTACATCTACCAAAATCAGCTGTCCTTTGCTCTCTTTCTTCATCTTGGCCCAGGCTAGCATCCTCTCCTTTAGCTCTTCTGCCACACCTGTGAGGGACATGCCTAAAGAGACGCTAGCACAGGTGGTCTCTGGACAGCTAGCTAGGCACGGGCCTGCAACCTCTGCCATAGGCTCATGTGGGTTGAGAGTGTCCTGTTCGCGCGCGCTCACTTCTCCACATGGCCTTAAAGTAGGGGCAGTTGCAACCCCCTACTGGCGACTGCCTTTTGACTGCTGGGCAGCCCAACGGGCCTGTCTATACTTGGGACAAAATTTAATTTCGTGTGCCGGGTCACCACAAAATACGCACCGACCCAAGTTCACGCGTTCATGCCATAACCCCTGGTCCAAGCCCAAATCCTCCCAGGGCCTGCCCTGTGGCAAGCCTGGGTGCCATCCTCCTTGAGGTGGCCTTCTACCTCCTCGCTGTGGGGACCGATTGGAACCCTGGCGATTTGGGGGGGGACCTTGACCCCTACCTCCCGCCTGGCGGTTTCCTTGACCGCCAACCCCCTGTGCGCCCGGTCCTCGGCCTCCCATGGCCTGACCCCTTTGGCCCTGGCCTCCCTCCAGCCGCGACAGCAGCATAAGACCTCCCCTGTCCCACACTATTGTCCTCCTCCTCTAGGCCCCACTCAATCTGACTATATGGGACCTCGTTGGTACCACGTTCCTCTAAGGTAAGGATCATGTGATCCTTGGGCCTTACCTGGCCTGAGATGGTACGACCCTTCCACCTTTTTCCCTTGTCCAAGTTGCTAAAAGGTGGTAATTGGCATGGACTTCAACTCATACAGGACGACTTCTCTACTCAACGCATCATAAGTGATGCCGGCCTGTTGAGATTTGTCAAAGAAGTGCCCACGCAGGGCCTCTGGCATGGCACGATAAAATAATTGGACCAACTGGGTCTCAGTGACCCCATGGTCTGGGACGGCTACCAAGTCGTCCATGGTACCCTTGAGTGCCCTCGCACTCCTCCACTGTCGTGAGTGGATCGTCTGTAGCTTGTTAGAGGCGCGAATGCCTCTCGTTGGTTCAGCGAATCGCTCCTTCAGGAGCTTGAAGAATTGAGAAAGGGGGGTGACTTTTGAATATGCAACCAAGTTGTTTTCGCAACCGGCTGCACGCGCAAGGGACCTGGCAAAGCTAGCTGCCTCGTCCTTGAGGGCCTGGAAGGCCACGAGGACTTGTTCCTCTGTCAGGATGTGCAGTAAATAGATATAACTATTGACACTAGCTTCCAATTGTCAAAGTTTTCCTCCTTCTTTCCCCCGTATGCGTCTGGGAACTTGAGCTTTACAGGCTCTTTACGGGGTCTGACCTCGCCCTCTACAGCGGCTATTGCTTTGGCACCTTCAATGGCGCCCTCACAGAACTTCCCTACGTTGTCCCTCAGTTGCCTGACTTCGCCCCCAATGTGGGTGACGATATCGCGCGCAAAGTCTTTAAACCCCGACCGCATGGCACTCAAGGTTACCTCCCGACTCCAGCTAGCTTGGCGCTCCTCCATCCATGCAGTGCTCAGCACCTCCAGATAGCCCATTACCTTATCCCATTTGGCCTTCTCCACTTCTTTCTCCTACAATCATGTACCTTTGGCACCTCTGCGGTCAATCTATTGACTTCCTCCCTCCTTCTCTTCTTCTCTCTCTTCATCCTCAACTTCCATTCTAATTTCTGCTCCTTCTCCCTTTCTCGCCGTTCCGTAGGATCCGCCATGGTTGCGAGCTCACTAGCTAGCGCATCCCTCTTATCTTGAGTCACATACGACTCCGCCTCCTCGTCTTCTCCCAACGATAAATTATTGACCCACTCACTTATTTTCTTCTCCATCTCTGCATCTTTATCCCTCTTCGTGCCACTGCTCCCCTCTCTATTCTTTATTCGCATTCTCTCTTTTTCTTCTTCTGCTGCCGCTTCTTCTTCAGAAGCCTTCTTCTTTTTCTCCATCTCCTCCTCCAATTCCTTCATCTTCGCCGCCTGTTCCTCTGCAATCGCCTTTAACTTCGCTTGCTTCTCGCGCTCTTTTCTCTCCCTATTCTCCTTAACTAAGGCGGCCGTCTTTTCTTGCTGCTCCTTGGTGTAGGGGCTAGTGTCCTTGCCACTGCGGGTCTCAACCATGGTGAAAAGTGCACAACCGGGTGGTGGTTCCAAACCTCACCAAGTCGACTCTAACCCCTGACTGACAGACCTACTGACTCAATCTGAGGACTCACAGAATCCGGACAAGGATCCTGTCAACTATGGTCTCTAGCCTAGACCTACACAATGCTGTCACTACTAGACCTGTTGCTGACCAGGAGGTATTTAAGGAGATCCCCCGAACTCCTCAGGAATTATTTAACGTCGCTGACAGGACGACGCAATCAGCAGGTCTCTCAAGACTTAGACGGTCTGTTGTGCAGCCCACAGCTCGGATTTCGAGGCCTACCGTGCCACACCGAGCAGCCCGCCGGTCAGTACCGGTCCTTGGGAGGGTTTGACCTCCATGACGGTCGAGTCGGCAGACACAGCTTTTAGCCATACTCATCCCGTGTGCATTCACACTCCGATTATTCACACTTGTCTTGCATGCAAACAACGATACAGCAACTGGCGACATGCGCCCTGACAGTACTTAAGATATCGTAACCAGATATGAGTTCTCTTCAACTGGCTATGGCGACTGGGCGCCCACACAACTCACTATTCGCACTCTGGATCACCCTGGATGTCCCACACGCAACACTCAGTATCATACGCAACACACACACACGCTATGCTACAGCTATGGCAGCGCTAGC